ACCGAAACCACTTTTTAAAAAACGCCCAAAGACCGAAGGGGAGGGTTGACTCTATTAAAAATGCAGTTAGGATTTTTGTTTAAGATGCGCTCGCGATGAGTAGATGAAAAGAAGATTAATGGGGATTCCGTAGATTTCCTGCAGAAAGATGAACCGCGATGTGTGAAGATGGATTTAGATGTATGAGCCGAAAAAAATATTTTTTGAAGATTTATTCTCTAGCGTGAGAGTTTAGAGCTTCTTAGGATTGAAATTTAGATGTGTCGTTCTCCTAGAAGAAAAAAAAAACGATTATCATATATATGATATTGGAAATTTTTAAATGGTTTTGAAGCGATTTAAGAACATAAGACCCTAATAAAAATAACCATAAAAGAGAGCTTAACGACGTGTTCGGGTATCATCCAAACCATTTGTGGGATAGTTTACCCATCCGGGATACAGTTCGTTCATGGTATTTTAAATAAGTTTTAGGTTAGTAAAAATGTTAATGCTTCTATTGGTTTGGTTTAAAATAGAGTTTTTAAGAACGATTTTCGCAAATTTTCTTTAATTTGGAATTTTATACCATTTTACCAACAGGTGGAAACTAACGATTTAAATAATGACAGAGAGAAGGATTAGTAATTTCCATTTAATACCACTACCTTATTTGCTTATCCTTGACGGATACGCGTATTTCGTCTACAATGTGCAGACTTCTTCAGTGTCTTGTACTAATACTCGACAGTCGAGTATTAGTACAAGACACTGAAGAAGTCTGCACATTTTAGACGAAATACACGTATCCGTCAAGGATAAGCAAATAAGGTAGTGGTATTAAATAGAAATTACTAATCCTTCTCTCTCTCATTATACAGGTATTCCACTAACACGCCCACATTCATCAGGATTCAAACGATTTAAAATTGGCTCACTACTTGACTAGCCTATTGGTCCCAAGCAAATCGATTAACGTACCCCATTCTAGTCAAAATTCTAGTATACTAGTGCATGCATGCACAGGGTGATTACCTGAACGTTCAGTACAGAATACACTGCAGGGTGCATCGATTAGCTTGGGATCGAAGAGAGTACCAGAGCTGAGCCAAAAAGTTGCGCTCGTTTCTTCGGGACCTTCTGGTCTTAGAGTTACCTCTATGGTATTAGTACTAGCAAACATTGAATCCATTTCAGCAAAAAATTATCGATTTATAGATTTGGCCCACTTTTTGGGTCAAATACTCCTATGTGCAACGGTTGGATCGACATAGTTAAACTTGTTTTAAATTTAATTACGTTGGATAAAATATTAGGAGTTTCAAGTGTTCCACAGAGTTGTTTGTCATTAATTTCTGACAGTGCGCAAAACAGTCAGGTTCAATTAGTCATTTTTATATGAATATGAACTGCCATCTGCCTCATCATTCACGGCCTCTGGAGAGTCTGAATGATTGAGAGGTAAACGAGTCACTGAAAGCCGAGCACTCAGTCAGTAGCTCAGTCAGCACGTTTATTCTTCCGTGATGGTACCCAATCCTTGTTTTGAATGACGAGGGTACATTTTCTATGGAAAAATGCCTCAATTACATGCTGTGTGAGCGAAGGCAAGCGGTGTGAGTCGCTTGTTCGTGAGTGACTAAAGCTGGGCTTAGACAGGACAAGTCAATTGATCAAGTCAGTGGAATTCAACTGACTTGAATGCAAATTGAACGTGTAAACCATACCATTCAACTACTTGATCAGCTCACTTGAATTGAAAAAAGTTGAACCAGGCTCAACTTTTCAAGGCAATTGAATTCAACTTAGTTGATCATTTGATTTGCCTATAATCTAAACCTAGCTTAAATGTTTTTATTGGCTCTTTCATTGCCTCGTCCTTTACCGTTTGGTACAAATAGTCTGGACAGAGCAATGGATTGAATAGTGCAGTGCTTTCACATTCAGCCTAAGCAGTCAATAATTTTACGCTCTGATTTCTGAACAACTTTGTTGAAAAGTGCAAATTTTTAGTAATTCATCCAAAAAAGTTATAGTTTAATGAAGTTGCACAAACATATTCAGGGTACACTTTTTCATAAAGTCGTATTCTTGAAATTGTTAACTTTATGTCAGAGCTGCAGACTGCAGTTCCTATCGTAATGAAAACTCAATTTTTGCAAAATAAGTCTGATACAAGGGGTAAGTCACTCAGCACATTGTACCGATATTAGATATAAGCATTGGGTTGTTGTAAATAAAATGGGAGCACTGCTGGACAACTGTCATTGAAGTTGGTCACAACATTACGTGCTGTTTGACTGTATTTTCAGGACCATCCTCTAATTGAATATACCAGAGGAACTCAGACCAGCATTTCACCTAGCATTTCGCTTATAGATCTAAATACGAAATGTACAGACTAAAATTTTGTTTCCGTATTCGGTAAATTTTACCGAAATCAGAACAGCTGAACGTTCGGTAAAATTTTCACCTTCGTTTTAAAGGCTATTGAATTTGAAAATAATGTTTAAATGATCAAATCTTGTCATTTTAGTGGAGATTTAATTTCAAAGTAGCTACAAAGCAATTGAATTGAATTGCATAAATTTTACCGAAAAGTTCAGCTGTTCAGATTTCGGTAAAAAAGTGTGGTCTGCCTTTGAGGGCATTATAAAACCCTAAAACACAGGACTTTTATTATCCTATGAACTCAAAACACAAACATTTTGCACTCCCGCCACTTCCCGCGTCACCCTCAATCCGATTTATCCTTGCGATTTCAAACCAAAACATTCAAGGTGTGAGAAATGCCGGGTTGCCGGGATGGATATTTTACAAAAAATCAAAGCTTGCTCTATGACCGCCACAATCGGCACACTGACAAAAAAGATGACCCAAGATTGGCATGCGGAGCGACCTACCCCTTGGTCCGATATCATATTAAGCTTTCATTAGCAATCAAGAGATTTTTTTAAACGAGAACAACTTTTAAGTATTTTAAATCGGTTTGTTATATGAAATGCATTTTAATTAGCGAAATTTCACTCTGATTACTGTAAATAAACATTAATCGATAGCTACCTGATCATTTATTCTACATGTTTAGAACCTAATTTTGAATGGGACTGAATTCAATTAAGGATATTAAAGGTCGCGTAATTTCAAAACTTTGAATTAAATGTCAGTTTATTTATTAATAAAATTTATAAATCAAGATTTTTTTTAAATTATCATTAGATTGAGCGAAAAAAAACGATCTCGTAGTCCTACGTCAATAATGCGGCCGTGCTTGGGACACAACCCTTAACATTATTCATTAAAAAGATTTGCATTACCATTTCCTTTTCGTGCAAGATTCTATCTTGAAATTCTGCTTAAATTTCTGAAGTCTTTCAGAACTAGCAATCCTCAGATTTCATTTGAAGTTTGCCTCACAATTGTTCCAGCACTCACTTGCAATACTCCTCCGAATTTCCACTCCAAAATGACTAAGTTCAATGGTTAAAAGAAAATAACGAGAACGATACGATTGATTGCATTTCTATAAAATGTTTAGAATCTTCTGAGAAGATTGGTAAAGTTATTCAATGCATTCTTACCTTCAAGTTCAAGGTTTTCCCAAGAAAAATAAAATTATTAGAGCATTCTTGGTTTTCCAGGAATTTATCAGGTAGTAATCACCATGTGATCGATTCGTCAGTTGGCGCGAAAATGTTCCTACTGTAGCAAATAAGTAGCAATTTAGGAATTTCCACGAGTCGCCATCAGATCTTCTCAATTTAATCAATTATCTGCAGCAAATTCTTCTCCACCGATACACATCAATCAGCAGCCGTTCAAACTTATTCGTGGAGAATCTAAGGAGACACCCAGATGTAAAGTGATTCCACGAAATGCTATTTCATCATAATATAGGTCGTTGGCTCAATGAAGATACCTTGGAAGCAACTTTGGAAGTCAATTATTACTGACATTAATTAGAAATCATCTCAGTGTAGCTGTGCAATGGAAAAGAAAACGTAATTGGCATCGCTTAGTGATGCGATATTAAATTACTTTTCCTACAGCATCAATCTACTCTTCTGACGAATAGAAGGAGAAATCGAGGATGCTAAGGATGCTGATTTCACTTTATTAGATACCAGTATTCACCTCTATTATATCGACCTGTCTGCAGCCTTATAATTGAATGTAAGTTAGAGCATCATATTTCCTTTAGTACAAATTCACTGCATAATAAGTAGTAATGTCATACAGAGATTATTACCTTAATATACATGAGAAATATTAGTACCTACCGAGTACATCGAACTGCATGTTGATGCAAATTTAAGTTTATTTCTTTCAAGCTTATGAACACGGGAAAGTTACATTCAACGACACTATTATACAGAAATAACACTTCAACCTACCTGGGTATAACGCACATATTGTTAGAGAGGTACCCTAGTACTTCTGAAACCACATTGATTAGGATGGTATCATGTTTTCCGTCCATAATATTGATATTAACAATAATAACGTGCATACAAGAGCGGTCGCCGCGAGCAATACCTCTCTTTGTCTGCATGGCTGCATACACTACATTATCCAACTGATGATTATAGCATGATGACTGAATACAGCACTGAAGGACTATGTGTTCAGCAATGAAGTTTTCAAGAGTAGTTGTTCCGTTCCACTTAATTGTACTTACCAGTGCAGTACCGTGTGGTCATTATCGGCTCCGATTACAAATGCATTGAATCCACTCCAATCAACGTAATTCAATGGAATATTATTCGCTATGTTAATAAGCTAAAAACGCACTCCAATAAATGATGGTCATTAACATTACTTTATGATCGTTAAGCGATAGCAGATAAATTTCTCATGGAAATAAACATGTCTTTCGCCTTAGGTTTTACAAAAATCAATTTTATTTCTCTCTATCTCAATAATAATAGCAATAATAAAGAAAAAAAAATATGTTTAATATATAATAAGACATCAATTAAAGTCCTCTCATTCTGCAAAGAGAATGTCTAATGTTCTCCAGCTTTTTTTATTTAAATTGTCCTTTAATCTCCCTTGTTCCATTTCACTAAATAAAAAGAACTCCTTAGCATATATCTGCCTGTCTTGTCTGTCTATCTGTATGTGTTCGTGGGTGTTCTTATTCAAGGGATCAGTTCGAAAACCTCCCCGGAAGGGTAGCAAACACCCCAAGGAAATGTTAAGTAAAACAATGTGTCGTTCCCTTTCAACTCAAGCGGAGGCGAGTCGACCACCCACGCCAGTCTATTCGCACTTGTTCTTCACTGTGATCATTATTTGATTCGTCTGATGTATCAGGTACAAAGCACTTACGAAAACGGCGTTGGCTCTGGAAAAAAAAAAAATAAGCGCAATTAACAAAATTAGCGAAAAATAACTCAAGTTTAAGAGCATTTTCCGAACACAACACTTACTCTCCCTCTTTGAAGTATTCCTTGAGCGTAGTGCTGAACTTTTTCGAATACTTGACAAACTCTTTCTTGCGTTGCTCGACCGCCTGCTTGCCGGATGAGCCCGGAATGAAACCGACCACCTCGTTCACTGCATCCAGCAGCTTTTTGATGGCACTAGCGATTTCCCTGCGAAATGAATGAAAAGGAACAACAATTAAATTTTGCCGAAATCAACACGTGGCAGTCGAACTCACTTGATGGTTTCCAGGAACGTCTTCCGGTCGGTAATTTCGTCTGGAATTCTGCTGAGAATGCGCTTGAGGGCAGCGGACTTCTTGTTCAGCTCCTGGAATGCGTCCTCGGTACGGTTCAGTCGGTATTCAATTACTGCGGAAAAGTTGTTCAATTGAGGTTGAATGATTGCATGAAGTTTTGTGCACGAGTTTATCAAAATAAGCTTCTGCTGCAAGGTGGATTATGGTGGGACAAGTTTGCCACCCCGACGATTGTGCGTTCATTTGGAATATACTGTGGATATTTATAGGCGTGTGTACACCGAATTGCAAGTTTATATCATTGCCATCATCATACATATATACAGCACAGCAATGCAAATGAAATCACATCAAACGATGTTTTAGATTTAAAATAATCATGTCAAATCTTCCATTGAAAATACAATGAGGCTTTCTATTCTTTATCATCGGCTGTTATTGTTTACATTCAAAGTGTTTTTATGTTACTTCATACGCGAAGTTTGCGATTTTCAGAGTTGGTTGGCAATACTATCTAACGCACAACTGCCGCAAATCTACTGGTGGAGGCGTTCTCATAGCGGTCGGCTCTGGATTGAAGGCAAAAGTTTTCGAAAACGATTCATGGAATTGTGTGGAACAAGTTTGGATTGCCATTAAGCTCGTTGACCGCACTTTGTTTTTGTGTTTAGTTTACTTTCCTCCAGATCGAACTCGCGACTCTACGCTAGTTGAATCCCACAGTGAGTCTATTCGAGCTATAATAGAGATCGCTACAGCTGCTGACGAGATGATAATCATTGGCGACTGCAATCTACCGGCAATTTCTTGGCAATCATCTTACTGTGGATTCCTGTATCCGGACCACGACCGTTCTACATTTCACTCTGGAGCTGTAAGCCTTTTGGATCATTACAGTATAGCCACTCACCAGCGGTACTGGCTCCGATCGTTGGGTTCCTGTTCCCGCGTAGGGACGTAGACTCCTGGCCGCGGATCCCAGGCGCGGATCAGGGAGAAGTGTCTAGAGTGACGAACAGTGAACTTGGCGGTATTGTCAGGTCGCTGGTGGTGGGCAAGGCCCCGGGCCCAGATGGGATCCCGGTTGTGGCTCTGAGGGCGGCCGTTGCGGAAAATCCAGACATGTTCCGTTCTGTTTTTCAGACTTGTCTGGACGTAGGCGTCTTCCCAGACGCGTGGAAGCGGCAGAAGCTGGTGCTGCTTCCGAAGCCAGGAAAACCCCCTGGGGACCCGTCAGCATACAGACCCATCTGTTTGCTGGACACCACTGGGAAACTGCTTGAGTGGGTCATCCTCAACAGGCTGTCGGCCTACACCGAAGGTGTAGACGGCCTGTCAAGCAACCAGTACGGGTTCCGAAAGGGCAGATCCACGGTGGACGCCATCCGCGACGTCATCCAGACGGCAGAGGTGGTCCATCGGAAACGAAGGGGCATTCGCTACTGCGCGGTGCTAACCTTAGACGTGAAGAACGCGTTCAACAGCGCGTGCTGTGGGGCGATAGCCCGCTCGCTACACCAGCTCCAAATTCCCGGAGGGCTGTATAAGATTCTGGAAAGCTACTTCCAGAATCGTGTGTTGACGTACGACACAGAAGATGGCGAAAAATGCGTTAGAGTCACCGCAGGTGTGCCACAAGGCTCCATCCTGGGCCCGGTGTTATGGAACGTCATGTACGATGGACTGTTGAGGATAAAATTCCCGGTAGGCGTGAAAATTGTAGGTTTTGCCGACGATGTCACGCTGGTAGTCTGCGGGGAATCCCTCGAGGAGGTAGAGCTGACAGCGGCCCACTGCGTCAGGCTTGTGGAGGAATGGATGAGAACCAGGAAACTGGAGCTCGCCCATCACAAGACGGAAGTGGTCGTAGTCAACAATCGCATGTCAGTACAGCATGCAACGTTGACAGACGGCGGAAGCACAATTAGGTCTGTGCGCTCTCTGAAACTCTTGGGGGTTATGCTCGATGATAAGCTCAGCTTCGGCTGCCACGTCGAGTACGCCTGCAAGAGAGCGTCTATGGCTGTGGGGGCATTATCCCGTATGATGTCAAACAGCTCGGCAGTGAATGCCAGTAAGCGCAGGCTCCTCGCTGGGGTCGTAGTATCTATCCTCAGATACGGCGGCCCTGTGTGGGCTGCGGTACTGGATATTGACTGCCACAGGCAGAAATTAGAGAGTACACACAGGCTAATGTGCTTAAGGGTGGCCAGTGCATACCGCACTATCTCGAGAGAGGCCGTCTGTGTCATAGCAGGGATGATGCCAATCAGCCTTATCATTAAGGAGGATGTGGCGTGTTATGACGCGAGGACCGTTCGAGAGGTGCGCAACAACGCGCGAGTTGTGTCGACCGCGAGATGGCAATTGGAGTGGGAAAACTCCACAAAGGGGAGGTGGACTTACCGCTTGATACCTTCCGTATCAAGCTGGGTCAACAGGCGCCATGGGGAAGTAAACTTCCACCTGACACAGTTCCTGTCAGGCCATGGCTGCTTTAGGAGCTACCTGCATAGGTTCGGACATGCAAGTACTCCCACCTGCCCCACATGTGCTGGCGTCGAGGAGACCGCCGAACACGTCGTGTTTGCCTGTCCACGTTTCGAGCCAGTATCGAGCGCTATGCTAGCGATATGCGGAGCGGATACCAGTCCGGACAACATCGTTCATAGGATGTGTGGTACCACCGAGAACTGGAGCGCGGTGGTGACTGCGGTCACCCACATAGTTTCGGTATTACAACGACAGTGGCGAGCCGAGCAGCAGTTACCTACTGCCCGACCAGATCGTTAGAGTATTGCTAGAGAGGCGCCATAGCGCTACAGCGAAGTTATGCCTTCGGGCGGTTCCGGGGAGGCCAAGGGCCAAGCGCACAGGGTAAGGTTTAGTGGGTCGGGAGTGAAATTCTCCCATCCCCACACCCTGAGTTCCTTCTCAGGTGTCTGTGAGCAGATTCCCCCCTGTATAAAAAAAAAAAAAAGTATAGCCACTCTGAAGCAATGCCACTCTGGTTAATGAGAACAATCGTAGCTTAGACCTTTGCTTCGTAACCGCTCAGGATACTGCTCCGCATTTGTCTATGGCTATTTCTCCGTTGATAAAGGCTGCTCCACATCATCCTCCTTTAGTTATTGCACCACCAAATTCCAGAGGTCATTTCACCCCCCCCCCCCCCCCTTACAGGTCTCCTACGATTTCCGAAATGCTGACCACGACAGTATCGGGGAACTTCTTTCGAACTTGGACTGGCACAGGATACTCGTCCTTGCCGATGTCAAAGCAGCTGCCCAAACACTCTAGCATATTTTGGCTTACGTCATTGAGCGACAAGTTCCCAAACAAGGTACCGTATGCGTGATAATGTTTGCACCATCGTCATCGTACAAATAAGGTTCCCGTTTCACCTGTGCATACAATCCCTTGGTTTTCTTTGCATGCACGTAACCTATAGCTCATACCGTAGTTGGCTGTGTATAAAAGAAAATGATTTACTTAGTTTGACAGTTGCACCATGGCGAAGTGGCAGCGTATTCGTGATTTGTCCCACGCGCAAATGTCGCAAAAAGACATTTCAATCGCCGTGGGAATGTCCCGGTGGACCGTCAAAAGGGTTTTCGACCGAGAAAAGAAAGGACAACTATCCGCGAAGGTGGCCACAGGTCATCCGAGGTCAGCTCGGGATCCGAGGGTTATCGCTGCTATCAAAAGGAATATTCGGGTGAATCCAGTGCGTTCAATAAGGAAAATGGCAAAGGAACACGGGATCAGTGACTTTACGGCACGGAAGATCGTAAAGGAAGATTGCGGGGTAAAGTCGAGGGCACGGAAAAAAAAACTCACTTGATTACCAACCGCATTCGGGAGCTACGAGTCGAACGATGCAAGAAAATCTTGAACTTCCTTAAGCGAAAAAATCCGGTAATCCTGTTCACCGACGAGAGCATGTTTACCGTCGATCCCGTATAAAATTCCAGAACCGACCGGTATATTAGTTCTCTTCCGGTAAAAAACGTGGCCGACGAGCACAAGAACGTGTATCTGACCAAGCATCCTGCTAGCGTTATGGTGTTTGGATTGGTGGCTTCCGATGGCAAAAAAAAATGGACCCGGTGTTCATTCCAGAAGGCGACAAGGTCAACACGGAGGTCTACATCGGGATTTTAAGTAAGTACAGGGGTTGTGAGAAATATAGGGTACTAGCAAAATTTTGTCCAACTTTGGACTGTTGTAACTTCGTTAAATATTGTTCGATTTTCAGTCCTCAAGAAACATTCGACTAGAAAACTAATCAAGTTTTATGGTGAGGCAATGGAAGTGACCATGGCTACCGGATACCGGAGATATTCCGGGTTTCCTGAGGGCATGTCTAAATTGCTAAATTTGTGATGAGTTTTTCTCAGGGTGTCCGTTACTAATCTGTGTTTTTTGTTCATACGCCAAAAATAGAACTATTTCCAAAGCAAATGACGCACCAAGAGCTAAAATCGGCTCAGAATCAACAAAGATATGGCCATTTCCCTGGAATCGGTCCTGAGGGAGGGTTCTGAGTGCGGTCAGTTCTTTCATGCACTCAAAACATGCCGTGCGACACCTCTTTCTTCATAGTTTTTTACCAATAGGCTTTCTTTAGACTTTGAATGGATCATTGGCTACATTGGCCACTTCCGGAACCACCGGAGTGCCCTCGGGGGAACCTGTAGTAGGGGACAAATTCATTTTTACAAAAATCATGCCGTGTGACATCTCTTTCTTCATGATTTTTCATCAGTAGGATTTCTTAAGACTTTAATTGGATTATTGACCACATTGGCCACTTCCAGAACCACCGAAGTACCCCCGGGGAACCTGAAATAGGGTACAATTTCATTTTTACACCAAAACATGCCATGCGACACCTCTTTCTTCATGGTTTTTCATCAGTAGGCTTTCTATAGACTTTGAATGGATCATTGACCACATTGGCCACTTCCGGAACCACCGAACTAGCCCCGGGGGAACCTGTAGTAGAGGACAATTGCATTATTACACCAAAACATGCCGTACAACACCTCTTTCTTCGTGGTTTTTTATTCGTAGGCTTTCTATGGACTTTAAATGGATCATTGACTACAT